AAAAAAAAAAAACTTATTTTAACAATAGCTTTGTTGGGCGCCTGGGTGGCTCAGTTGGTTAAGCGTCTGACTCTTAATTTCAGCTCACCTTGTGATCTCAGGTTTGTGAGCACTCAGAGAGTCTGCTAGAGGTTCTCCCCTTTCCTCTCTGCCCCTCTCCTTCACTTGCATGTGTGCATGCATGCTTTTTCTCTCTCTCAGGTAAATAAATAAATCATTTAAAAAACACAATAGTTTTGTTGACATATAATTCACATACCTTAACGTGTACAATTCTGTGGGTTTGAGTGTATCCACAACATTGTTTCACTTGATTAACTGCCCCCTGCCCACCTCTCCAGCACCCCCTCTTACCATGCCGCCTTCCACATGGTGTTGCTGCTCACCCTGGACCCCAAACCTTGAGGTGTTCACATCTAGCCTCTGTGCACCTCTGAGCCTTTGCCTTTCCCTTCTCCACCACAGATACTTTCCCACTCTGCATGTGAAACCAGGCAGAAGGATGGTATCTGACATATTAGGCATGTTTGTCCTGGTCACTTTGAGCTCTGTAGCTAGCTGTCCCAGTTGCAGAAATCCCTTGCTCTGTCACCTGCTAATACATCACACACGAATAGAACATGGGTCAATTTTCACCCTGATGACCAGCATTGCAGATACCTCGGTCATGTCTCCCTATTATTAACCGTTCTTTTTTTTTTTTTTTAAAGATTTTATTTATTTTTTTTTTAGAGAGCGAGCGAGAGAGAAACAGCATGAGAGGGGAGAGGGTCAGAGGGAGAAGCAGGCTCTCCGCTGAGCCGGGAGCCCGATGTGGGACTCGATCCCAGGACCCCGGGATCATGACCTGAGCCGAAGGCAGACGCTTAACTATCTGAGCCACCCAGGTGCCCCTTATTAACCGTTCTTAATTAAATACCTTCCCCATGCCTGTCAAATATCTTAAGAGGATAACCGTGAAATCCTACCTGACGGTCACACTCATTAGGAATTTTAAAAACCATTAGCAGTACTATTAATTAAAAAGTTACAAATGGGAAAAATATGAGAGAAAAACCGTTAGCGGTGAAGATTTCTTTTCAAGATGCTGGGTTTTAGGAGAACGCCACTGAGAACATAAATTGAACTCCGTTAAAATGTCAGCCCACCAACTGCAGGCATACTCCTTGTGCCTCTGTGTTCTTGAAATGTCCTCTAAGATATGGCCATCTGCTCGTGGTCCGTTAGCATGGGATCAATTTGATTTTTTTCATTACAATATGCATTTTTAATTTAAGAAGCAGCATTCCAGAGTTACAGTCCTTGTGAGGCCCAATCACACCCCTTCCCTGAAGGACTCTCTGATGCCATATTGTTTCTCCATGCTTTAGCTTCCTAAGTTGAAGACTCTGCCCATCTACATATACACTGCATACGTCCTTTTGCAGCTTGGTTTGTGGGTGTGTCCCTTCCTAGCTGGGTGAGCAAGTCACTGAACTTCTCCGTGACTCCGTTTCCTCACCTGTAAAATGGGTACCATGATGGTCTACTGCATGGGGTCGCAAAACCTGGCATGTGATAAGCTTATTCTTTGAATTAAATTCATCTATCTCTAGCTCCTTCTTTTTAACCTTCATATACTATTCCGTCGTATGAATACACAACTGTTGATTCCTCTGTACCCCTGCTGACAGGCGGTTAGGCTGTGGCCAATGTTTTGCTGTTACAAATATGGCTGCAGTGAATTCCTTAGATCTGTGTCCTTGGGTTCATGAGTGAGAACTCCTCAATACCTAATTGTGTAACTGCTGTGTGGAAGGCAGATGCATCCCCCTAGATATTGTTAAACTGCCCTCCTAAATAGGTGCAGATTCTCATGCCCACCTTCATCCCACATCCTTGATGCTGTCAGACATTTTAATTTTTGGCAATCTCATGGGGAGAGGGTGGGTGGAGAAGCTGCCGTTTTGCTACAGATGACCAAACTGAAGCCCAGAGAGGGCAAGGAACTTTCCCAAAGTCACACAGCCAAGGAGCAGTGCTAGGCTTCAGACCCATGCAGGTGTACCTGGTCCTAAATGGAGACCTCTTTCCCTTGGGGTGCAGATCTCCTGAGTCTTACCCTACTCCTCCCCTGGTGAGCTTTTATTCATCCTTCAAGATTTTATTCAAAGGCCACTCCCCTCCCCCCCTCAATGAAGTCATGCCCTGCTTTATGCTTTCTGGGTTCTTCAGAGCTAATTCTGTCATATGCTCCTTCCCCGTCTCCATGGCTAGAGTGGTTAGGAGTGTAAATCCTGGAGTTAGAATCCAAGCTCTGCCTTTTGCTGTACTGGCCTCTTTGTACCTCTCTTTCCTTATCTGTAGAAGGGTGTTAAGGATAGAACTGATCTCATAAGGTTCCTTGGGGGAGGAAGTGAGTTAAGCCATGTGATGCTGGTAGATGGTCCCTGACATGTGGAGCACATTCAATGAATACTAGCTATGATTTCATCCAACCTCTGATTTTAATTTAATCCTGCATTTACTCTTGGATCCCCTTCCCTCTGCATGACCTCATGCAGCCATAACATACAGCAAAAGCCCAAATCCATCAATCATCCCACCTCCCAAGCTGGGTGTGGGAGGTCCATTAGACAAGGCTATCTGTCTGCACAGCTTCATCCATTCCCACAGCTTCAAATCCCATCCTGTCAATTTATATCTTCAGCCCAAGCACTCCTCAGAGCTCTAGTATTACGTATCTAATGTCTCCACTTGGGTGTGTTAAACGCATCACCAATGGATCTAATATTCCCACTGTGGATCCTGTGGATCCAGCTGCAGTAGTCCCTGATCCAGTAAAAGGTGGATCCCCATCTCCCACCTCCCTCTTCACACACCCTACCCAACCCATCACTCAAATCCATCAGCTCAACTCCCAAAACATAGCTTACATAATCCACTTCTTAGTCTCCACTGCCACCCCGGCAGAGACCACTGTCACCTTTCCAGAGACCTCTCAGCCTCCCTGTATGCACTCTAGCTCCTCCATCCATTTCCCATGCAGCATCCTGGGTGACTGCTTTGAAAATGCACATGTGACCATGTCCTTCCTAGCTCAAAATGCTCCACTGAGGGCTTCTTGCTGCATAGAGAATAAAACTCAGAGTCTAGCCCTCTCCTATCACTCTCACCCTGCCTGGCTTACTCTGCTTCAGCCATGCTGGTATCTTTGCCATTCTCTCAAGATCTCACCACAGGGCCTTTGCATGTGCTGCTCCCTCTGCCTGGAATGCACCTTTGGCTCCCTCGGGGCTCCCCAGAACAGATCTCATCTCCTGCCATCATTCCGATCAACCACTCCATTTCAGCCCCACTGACCTTGCTGCCGTTTCTGGAACCAGCTAAGTACACTTCCACCTCAAAGCCTTCGAAGGCACTGTTCCCTCTGTATGAAACACTCTCCAACCAGATATCTGCATGGCTTTCTCCCTCTCCTCCTGAAGGTCATCACTTAAAGGGCACTTTCTCAGTAAGGCATCTCCCGGCCATCCTATTCCAAATCGCAAATCGCAGCCTCCCTTTCCCTTGCTCATCACTGCTATGTTCCCAGGGGTTAGTAGTCACGCCTGTCACACGGCAGGTATTTGACACACGAGTTAATGTCTGTGTCTCCAAATTCCGAGAAGCCTCGAAAAATGTTACTTCAATGAACTAGAAAGTGAAAATTCAACCTTTGAAGCCTCTAGCCTCAGCTGTTACAATTCCATCAACAAATGTGTCTCTGCTAAGTCTCTACAGCACACATTCGATGGTAGACAGAATAATTCTCCCCCAAAGATGCCTGTACCTTGATCCCCAGAACCTGTGAAGAGGTTACCTTTTTGTGGCAAAGGGATAGTGCAGATGTGATTAAAGGTCCAGACCTTGAGATGAAGAGATTATCTTGCATCAATCCAAGTAGGCCCAATCCAATCACACAAATCCTTAAAATCAGGACAGAGAAAGATGTGAAGACAGAAGAGAGGTCAGAGAGGTGCAACATTGCTGGCTCTGAACATGGAGGACAGGGCCACGAGCCAAGGAATGTGGGGCTTCTAGAAGCCAGAAAAGGTACAGCAACAGATTCTCCTCGCCTAGAGGCTCCGGAAGGAACACATCCCTGTTCACACCTTGGTGTCAGCCCTGGGAGAGTCCTGTAGGACTTCTGACAGTTAACAAACGCGCGATGGAGCTAAGGGTCCAGGGAGATGACAATGTCCTACTGGCGATGCGGTTTCTCACCTAGAGCCTTTGCCCCTCTGAGAATTCCCTTCCTCCTGGTGTCTGCCACTGGATAATACCACTTCCTCTGCAAGGTTTTTCCTGATTGCTCCACTAGAAATAACAACTCCTTCCCTGGGATCCTGCAGCTGTTGTTCATTTATGGTAAATCAGTCTAACCACCAACGTTCTGTGGTTTTAAACTATTTCACACACATTTTGTTCATGGGATTGGGACCTGAGGTCACCCAGCTAGTTCTCATCTTGGTGGAGCCACAAATGGAAGCCGAAGAGCTGGACTAAGCAACTCGCTGATAATTAGCTCAGTAATTCAGTAATCTTTCCCAACCCAATGAGCAAAATGTGTGTGAAATCATGTAAGATGGACCTCAACAGCGGCTCCTGTGTTTTAAGTTCTGAGTCAAATTTTCTCCCCATCTGAAACACGGGCATTAACAGGACCTAGGTCTCCCGGTTGTTGGACTCATGCGTGCCCAGCACGGAGTTAGCTCGGCTGGACTGTTTTTCCAGAGGAAGAAACAGGCTCAAAGAACTGGAGTCATCTATTTTCAGGGTCACCTTGCAGTGAGGATAGGAATTCATGTCTGTCCTTCCTCCCACTCCCCATCTGGCCCCCTTATTACTGTATCTGGGACTACCCCGAGATCTCCCTTGAGCGGCTCGCAATTCTGCACTTCTCTGAGCTCACGTAGTCGCCTCCCCTCCCGCCCACTCCAAGAAGGAACTCCATGCCCCGCGTCTGACCGTCTCCGCCACGAGGGGGCGCTAGAGGACAGACAGGGGTCTGCGCCGGTTGCAGAGAACAAAGGCTCTAGAACCCCAGCCGCAATGCACCCGGGAGCAGCACCTCGTAAAACTGGGCAGGACCGGCCCTACCTCACAACTCCGATCCCCCACCCTAAAGCGCGGCGGCCCCTCGGCCCGCTCCTCCCTTCCGTTTCCCCTCACGAAGAGCCCAACCTCGCGTACGGGTCGCCGCTCTGGACGCCCACGGGGCGCTTCACCGGATTTTATTACCGCGGGCGTGGGTCTGCCGGCCAATCAGGAGGCGCAGCGCGCCTGTGGCGTCACGGGGCGTGAAGCGGATTGGGCCCACTCCTCCTCCCGAGGACAGCGGAGTGCGCGTGCGTGCTGAGTGCCAGAAAAAGGCGGGAAAATGCCCGAGGGGCGGAGCGCCCCGTTCCTGAAGCGACGAGTCCCTCAGGAGAAGACAAGGAGAGGGGCGCGGGGCGACAGGCAGAAGTGGGACCTTCGGGGGATGGGAGAGCACACGGAGAAGGAGGGAGGGGGCAGCAAGCTGGATGGAGTGAAAAAGGCGGGGCCGGGGCGGGAGGAGACAGCTGTGAGCTGAAGGCGAAGGAGTCAGCGTGCGAGGCACAGAGGGGCGGCAAGAAGCACGAGTGGCTGGGCTGCGGGGCAGGCAGACAGCAGGGCACGCAGGGGAAGGCCGAGCAGCTGGCGTGGGAAACAGTGGGTCCCAGAGGAGGAGGAGGAGGCGGAGAGAGCGAGAACAGGGGAGGATGGAGGCATCGACTGTGGGAAAACAGGAACGCGGGGAGTGTGCACTGGATGTAGGCACACGAGAGCGATGGTGAGAGACTAGCAGACCAGGAGAACAGCAGAGCGATGGAGACGTGGAGTGGGGGAATGGAAGAGCGAGACCGGGCGGGGGGGGGGGGAGAGGATGGAAGAGCCGCGGACGCGCGTGCGCACACATGCACATGCGCAGGGACGCCGGGCGGCAGCGGCTGCGAAGCCCGCGAGAGCACGTGCGCATGCGCAGGGACGCGGGGCCTGGGAGACGCCACGGAGAAAGCCGGGAGAGCAAGCGCACGCGCAGGGAAGCACGCAGGGGCGAGGAAGACGCCGCGGAGAAGCCCATGTGAGCAGCACGCGCAGGAACACGGGGCCAGGGACACGCCGCGGAGAAGCCCCCGAGAGCAGGCAATGGAGCACGTGGGCTGGGGCGCACAGGCTCCGGGTGTGGCCGCAGGGGTGAAAGGACACTCAGGTCGGCCGCACGGGCCAAGCTGTAGGGCGCTGCAGGATGGCGTGGTGACCTCGGCCAGCTGGGAGGTCTCTGGGCTCTGGATGGAGGGGCCCAGTCTCAGGTGTCGCGGCTGGTTTGCGGGAGGCCTGTGAGGTCAGGCCGTGCTGAGCCTGGTCTGATGCTCAGAGACACACGGGGGTCTCCTCTTCAAGGCTCTCGAGGAGAGCCCAAGGAGGGAACGTTTTAGGGTCTCTAGAGCCGCGGAGAACCTGTCCGTGATCTCCGACACCCAGGCCAGCTCACTTTGGGGTCTTGGGAAGCCCTGCCGGGAGGCGCACACAAATTGATGGGGGCCCCATCCGCACCCTGGCCGTGCACCTCACCTGTGTCCGGAAGATGCCTTGTCGCCGGGGAGGGGGCCCCTGGGCTCTTGGTGGTGCCCCAGGAGAGCCTGTGTCCAGGTACCCCTGCAGCGGTGGTCGCCTTGGCCAGGTCCTCTCCCGAGGTGGGATCCCAGGTCCAGGGAGGATAATCATCCTCATCCGCGTAGCCTTGGGAGAAAGTGGGGCATGGGTTGAGCCCCACCCTGTCTCAGGTCCTTGCTGCTGCTCCAGACTACCCTTCCAGAACCTCCTGGAGTGACTCTGGGTCCCCCACCCCATCCCCAGTACCAGTGCAGGTGAGGCCCACGTCTTCCTCGTGGTCACAGTTGTGCTGGCCCCATGCCCTAGCAGGGCAGTCACTCAGCGAGGCCTCCATTCCCTTGCAGCCCACGTCATCCAGCCAGATGGGACCGGTCCCGGGGCCGTAGTGGGTTTTGCCCACTCGGGCCCGGACCCTTCCACAGCCCAGCTCCCAGCAGGCCACGGTACTGTCCCGCAGGTCCCAGCTGTCATCGCATACTGTCCCCCAGCGCCCAGCATGCCACACCTCCAGCCGGCCAGCACACCGGTTGGGCCCATCGGCCAGACGCACCCGGAACGGGCCTGCTGGTAGAAGACCCCAAGTCAGGAGGGGTCAAGAGGGGTCAGCCTCACCTCTTCATGTTCCCTCCGCTCACCTGATCCCCCAGCGGTGCTCCCAGTGGGGGAGGGGGCTGGGTCTTTGGAAGACTCTGGAGAACCTTGTGCTGGGGTGTCAGCAGATGGCTCCGTGGAGGCCAGAGGGATTCGCTGCACCATGGCCTCAGAGGTCATTTCTCGGGGGCCTTGAGTGGTTGATGTTGTCACGGTCTTAGCGGTCCGTTCTCGGGGGGCCCGGGGAGTCCGTGTTGCAGTAGTATGTGAGGTCATCCTGTGGGGAACCTCAGTGGTCAACTTGGTAGTAGACTCAGAAACTGTTCTTCGGGAGGCTTCAGTGGTCAGGGTTGTGGTGGTACGTGAGGTCAGTTCAGGGGGCCTCTGGGTGCCCAGGACCCTGGAGTGTTTAGTGGTTGGCATCGCAGGGGGCTGAGTGGTCGGTCTCCTTGCATTTTTGGTCACCCACTTCTTAGTACTCTTGGGCATTTTCCCTGGGGCCTTGGTGGTGGTTTTCTCGGGAACACTGGGGGTCAGCTTTGCGGGGGGCTTGGTGGCCAGTTCCCCAGGGAGCCAGGCATCCGGATCTCTACCCAGGCCAGGGATCCAGCTCCAACTGAAGGGGTCTGCGATGGAGTCCAGGCCAGGGGTGTCTGGAAGGTGGGAGGAGAGGACAGGGAAGATGGTGGATACCATAATGACAAGGTGTCTTTTAGATCTCTCCTTCTCTCTCATCTCTGCAATCACCAAGTTTCCATTCATTTGTTCATTATTCATTCACTCATGCATGTCACCCACATTTATCAAGCATCTTCTATGACCCAGGCACTGTGCCAGATGCTGGGGATACAAACCTCCTGGCCAGAAACACCACCCCCTGCTCCTTGGCTTTTACAGTTGTGACGTGACTGATCCTCTCTGCCCTTTCCACGTCTGACCTCTCCTCTTCATCTTGAGGCCACCCATGGCGTCACTTCCTGTAACTTCTGACAGTCTCCCTTTCTCCCTGTCCAGCTCTTACCAGTTACCAGAGTGGTACCAGGTCTGGCGGGTCACTCCCCAGCTCAAAACCCTTCTGTGGCTCTGTGGCTTTAGCTTCAGTGACTCCATCCTGTGGGTCACCACTGTTGTCACATCTCTCTGATTGGCACCTGTGTGCCCTAAAGTGTCACCTGTGCCCAAAGAAAGGTTTGGCCCTTGGCCCCTGGTTCCTGGGGTCGGTACCCAGAGAGTCGGTACCAACATTTGACGTATGGGCAGCCAGCTGGCAGGCAGCCATAGCTTGTAACCAAGCTCCTATAAAAACTGCACACGGAGGTAGGGGAGCATCTCTGCTTGGCAGTGCCGCGTGTGTGTGGTCACTCGCCCCTGCTGGGACAACTGAGTGCTGTCTGCACTCCTGGGACAACGGCTGGAAGCTCCCTGAAGGTCTCCCCTGAACCGGCCCCTGCGCCTCTGCCTTGACTGGTTTTTGACAGCTCTTCTGATTTCTTTGTGAGTTCTTCTAGAAGATCATAGAACCTGAGGCTGGTCTTGGGCCCCCCCCAGTGATAACATGTCACACGGGTTTGCGGTGATTTGTTGGTGCATCTCTTTCTATCAGTGAGCTGTGAGCTTCCCAAAGGCCGGGACTGTGATCGTTGCATCCTGAGGCCCCAGCACCTGGCTCAGTGGCACTCCATAAATGTTAGCAAACGAATGAGACAGACACAACGCTTGCACTTACTGCAGCTGGCCCTCACTTTGGCTTCTCTCCGTCTCCCAGTGTCCCTCTTTTCACCTCCTTTATCTTGGGGAGGAGAAAGAATCCCAACTCTGCCACTTAGTTGCTGTGTGACCTTGGGCAAGTTACTTAACCTCTCTGTGCCACGGCTTCCTCAGTAAAATGAGCCTAACATCCACCAGCTTGTACTAATTGTGAGGCGTGAGTGCGGTCACAGGTGTGGGAACACCCAGCCCAGGGCGGGGGCTTAGGAGACAGCACTCAGTAGATGTTAGTGTAGATGTTAATTCCTATCCCTTCTTCCAGGAAGCCCTCCAGGAGCACCAGGTGGGCAGGGCCTCCTTACCAGTGCAGGTGACTCCAACGTCTTCATTGTGAGCACAGTTGTGCTTCCCCCAGGGCGCAGCGGGGCAGTCTGAGAGTGAGGCCTCGGTCCCCAAGCACCCCACGTCGTCCAGCCAGATGGGGCCAGCCCCCCAGCCAAAGCGGCCAGCCGCAGGGTCCTGCTGCCGAGCTCTGCCGCAGCCCAGCTCCCGGCAGACCACAGCTGAGTCCCGCAGGTCCCAGCTGTCATCACACACCGTCCCCCAGCGCCCATTGTGCCACACCTCCAGCCGACCTGAACACCTGCTGGGCCCTGCCACCAGGCGCAGCTGGGGGGACCCTAGGTTGGAAGAGACCCAAAGAATTAGTCAGGAAGCCGTCCGGCTCGCTGAGTCCCTCCACCTGCCTTGCATTCATCCACCCATTTGTCCATCTGGGCTTTCCCACATCCATCCGTCCTGGCGGCAAGCACAAGGGATGGAGTCAGGCACGGTCTGGGTTCTTCGAAAAGTTCATCGCAGAATTACCATATGATCCGGAAATCCCACTCCTCGGGATCTACCACAAATAAAGGGAAGATGGCTATTCAAACAGATACTTGCACACAAATGTTCATCGCACCGTTCACAGTGGCCAAAGGGTGGACACAGCCTGGGTGTCCATCACTGGATGGAGGGACAGCCAAGTGAGGCATACACACAAAATGGAATAGGATTCAGCCTTTCTAAGGAAGGGAATTCGGACACCCGCCCCATGGACGAACCTAGAGGACATCAGCACAAATACTGTAGGATTCCATCTGCATGAGGTCCCTAGGGGAGTCAAGTTCGTAGAGACAGAAAGTAGAAGGGTGGGTGGCTGGGGCAGGGGGAATGGGGAGTCTGTCTGGGAGGGCGACAGAGTCCTACAGCTGAATGGTGGTGGCTGCCCGACCTTATGAGTGTATTTAATACCACTGAAATGGACACTTAAGAACAGTTGCAGTGGTCAGTTTCATGGTACGTATAGTTTACCGCAGTGAACCAAAAAGAGAAGGTGGGCTCTGGAGCAAGTTGCTTTCACCCGTGTTTCAGCCATGTGGCCTCCTCTGAAACACGGACACCAGGCAGCACCCACGGCCCGTGTGGCCGCGAGCGTCACCCGAGGGAGATGCAGACCGTGTCTGCGACAGCACCGGCCACACGAGCGCTGAGTGCCACAGGAAAAGGGGGAAAGAGGCCTCCAGCAAGACCAAGTCTCCCACCCTTGATGAGTCAGCTGTGCTAACCAGGCCTCTCACTGTCTGTGTTTCTGACGCTGTGACCTCTCGGGGCCTTGCTGACCCTGCAGGGACTGCCCCTCGAGGGACAGCTAATTCCGAGAGACAGGCAACCAGCGGAGCGTGCCTCTTGTATGCACGCCAGCCAATCCAGAGCCCACCCCCCACCTGCTCCGGGGGGCGCGCACCCTCTGGGCCACTGTCCACCCGCCCTCAGCCGCCCAGGGCCAGGCGCCCGACAACCAGGGGCAGCCCCTGCGCCCCACCGCTCGCGGAAACGATCCAGGCGAGCCGACCCTAAGCCTGCTTCCTCGGCCTTGCCTGCTCCTTCCCACAGAAGCCACGGCCCAGGCTCTTGCTGCGGGTCCCCCTCGCGCCCTCTGCCTCCTGGCCGACACGCTGCTTCCCTGCGTGGCCCCTGCAGCGCGTGGGCTAGAAACCCACTATCTTTCCAGCGGTGGTCCCGTCTTGATCTGCTGGCTGCACTGCACCTGAATAATACTAAGGCCTGTGTTTTACAAATGACAACGATTGTGGATCCAGTCCTTTCGGTGGTTGTGAGGAGACCGCCTCCCCAAAATCACGCATTTCAAGATGGCACCAGCAGAACATTCAACCAAGCACAGACCCTTCTGGGCATGGGGCTCTGTTCCCTCCCCCACCCTCGTCTTTGCCCCGGATGAGACAGTCTCTGAGCAGGGAGAAAGGATGCCTGGGGGCTGACTACGGGGGAGGAAGCAGTAGGTAAGGCCCCGTTTTCTCGGGGAGCAGAACAGACTCACCAGCTTCTGGTCCAGGCTCCCGAGGGACAGTGAGGGAGACAGGAGGAGGTGAGACACCTGCTGTCCCTGGGGCCTGGCTCACTGTGGGGGCCAGAGGCCTGGACGCTGCCTCCCTGGGCAAAGAGCCGTTGCTGTCCACTGCCGGGGCCGTGGGAGGGACATATCCAAGAGGCATACCTGGAGTGGGGGGAGGTGATCACCACCACGGTGATGCTGGACAGCTCCCCACACCCTCCATCCCAGGACCACTGATGCAGAATGAGGTTTCATGGATGGGGGCAAGTGGGCGGTCAGGACACCCCACGAGCCCCCCACTTCCTGTGCCTCCACTTGAGGCTCTAGCGCACCCACACCCCCAGCCTCTCCCTTGTGTCCTCACCATCACACACAGCCCCAGCGTCCTCCCTGTGGTGACAGTCATGCTGGCCCCAGGGCCGTGCTGGGCAGAATCGCAGGGCTGTCTCGTTACCCCGACACCGAAGGTCATCCAGGAAGATGGGTCCGGCGCCCTCCCCAAAGAAGGCGCCTCCGGGGGCGGCCAGCGCACCCCCACAGCCCAGCTCGCGGCAGGCCACGGCGGCGTCCCGCAGGTCCCAGGCATCATCACACACGGTCCCCCAGCGCCCGCCGTGCCACACCTCCAGGCGGCCGGCACACCCGTGGGGGCCGTCAGCCAGACGCAGCCGGGGGGCCGGGCCTGGATGTGGGGAGAGGGAGGGGAACAGACAGACGGGAGACTGCGATGGATGAGCGGTGTGAGCTCCGTGCTCAGGCAACTACCCATGCGCAGGTACCGAGCTATCTGTGGGGCTGGGCTTCCTGCCCACGATGACGCTGGACAGCAGGTATCCCACCTTCCGTTTGCTGATGAGGAAAAGGCTCCAGGATGGGAAATCACTCAGCAAGAGTCCAGCTCTGGTCTGTCCACCTCCCAATGCCCCTGCCTGCCTGGGGGCGAGCCCTGGGGACACTGGCACTGATCCCACTCCCTGACTGCCTGCTTCAGGCCTGTAAAGCAGGGCTTCTCAACCTCAGCACCACTGACATGGGGGGGATGGGTCATCCCTTGCTGTGGGGGGCCCGTCCTGTGACTGTAGGATGTCCCACAGAATCCCTGGGCTCCACTCCCCACATGTGAGTAGCATCCACAGTGTGACAGCCAGGCGCCTCAATAGGGTTCACTTCTTTTTCCCAGCAACTTAGCCCTCCCTCGAGCTTCAACTTACCTCCCATGACCTGGGCTCTGAAGGCCCCGCTTCTGCCCCTACATCCTGCCCACGCCGTGCAGCACTGTCCCTGGCCCTCTGCTCAGTGCCCCAACCCAAGTGGGTGGGCTCCGCCCCCACCCCACCCTAAGCTTCGGATGCCCAGCCTGCACAGCAGACCTCTCTGTAGCCGGACAGACCCAGCTGGTCAAGTTCTGGGTCTGGGGCTGAGTCTGTGATCTGGGCCATTTGGGTTCCTTCTCTGAACCTCATTTCCACATCTGGGAAGAGAGGGGTGAGAATACCCACCCCAGAGGCTGTCCACATGGGGGTGAGGCTCAGAGACAGCAGGGGAGGTGCCCAGCATGCTGCTTGGCACAGAGTGGGGACTCAGGTGGACATCCTCGTCCTCTTCCCCTTCACATCAGCTGCCTGAAGAATTGCCCACCCCCTGCACCCTGTCTGGTGGGCACCTACTGTCTGCCTGCAGCCCCTGTGCTTTCCCACCCACAACTATGGGCGGTCCCTGCAACTGCCCTGTGCTTGCTGGGTCCTGCAGCAGACCCACTGGAAGTCCATGAGAGTGAGGACTGTGTCTCATGCTGTGTCTGCAGACCAGGCACGGATGGTGCTTAAGTGGTATTTGTGAGAGGGGGAAGGAGGGAGGGAAGAGTGGGAGGGAGAGAGGGAAAGAGAGAGGAGGGAGGGAAGAGGGGGAGGGAGGGAGAGAGGGAAGGAGAGAGCCAGGAGGGAGGGAGGGAAGGAAGAGGGGGGGGGAGGGTAGGAAGAGGAGGAGGGAGGGAAGGAAGAGGGGGGAGGGAAGGAGAGAGCCAGGAGGGAGGGAGGGAAGGAGCAGGGGGGAGGGAAGGAGGAGGGAGGGAGGGAAGGAAGAGGGGAGGGAGGGAGGGAAGGAGAGAGGCAGAAGGGAGGGAAGGAAGAGGAGGAGGGGGAGGGAGATGGGGTAGGGAGAGAGTCAGGAGGGAAGAGGAGAAGGGAGGGAGGGACAGAGGGAAGGAAGAGGGTGGAGGGAGGGAGGAAAGAAGAGAGGCAAGAGGGAGGGAAGGAAGAGGGAGGGGGAGGGAAGGAAGGAGGAGCTAAGGAAGAGGGGGAAGGAGGGAGGGGAGAGGGAGGCCGAGGCGGGAGGAGGGCCGACAAAGCAGGTGCACTGACCGCGGCAGGCGGGCAGGGGCAGACCCAGGGGGCGGGAAGAGGATCAGAGGGAGAAGCAGACCCCCCGCTGAGCAGGGAGCCCGATGTGGGACTCGATCCCGGGACTCCAGGATCATGACCTGAGCCAAGGGCAGTCGCTTAACCAACTGAGCCACCCAGGCGCCCCGGAGCCTTGCTTTTTATATTTGTTAACAATTTGGAGGGTGGGTAGGTGAGGGGGAGGTAGTTTAACTTGGGAAAACAGTGCATGTTGGACTCAACCATTCCGACAAGGAAAGCATGCTTTTGTGGCAAACCGAAAGGCTAGGAATCCCGGGTGATGAAACACAGGCCTTCCGGCCCTCACTCTGTTCCTGATTTCTGGTTGTGGGAATCTGCTCTGAATCCAACTGCAAGTGGAAAACCCATCTTTGGCTGAGCAGCCAGGGAGGCCCTCCTGCCAATCCCCTAAACGTGTTGCTGAAACTTTGGCCCTGTGAGGATGGAGCTGAGGCTGTCTTCCCGAGATCTGTGCCGCTGTCAAGGTGGCTGTGATGGGACTGTGACCGGCCTCTGCAGTACATTTTGGCAGTGACCTTGAGACCTGCCAGCTCACAGCAGCTGTCCTGGTTCTTTCTCTCCTGCCACAGTTGCCTGGCCAGGGGGCTAACGGGAGGGCGCTAAACTACTCTGGCTCTGGCATTCTCAGGGACTGGCAAGTTCCGACTACGGTGCCCAGCGCTCTCAGTGCCTACCACCCACTGGGTATGGTGGCAGTCCAGGTGTGTGAGGGTGGGTGGCTGCTAGTGCCGCCTCTGGCTCAGCTCCCAATCCCTGGGAAGCGGGTGGCCCCGTCTGACCATCA